ATGGCCACGGTGGGGACTTGGCTGTGACCCCCAGTGAGCAGGAGCTGTGAGCTTTGGGCAGGAGACGTGACCTGGCTCCCACTTGGCAGGTCGCTCTGGTCCCGGTGGACTAGATTGCCGGCTGCAGGAGCGGAGTGGGGTGGGGGTGGGGGTGCGTAAGGAGGCTCCTGCGCTGTCAGGCGGGAGGCCGGTGGCCTGTGGAGGTGGTGGCTGCATGGACAGCGGCTGCAGGCTGCTGGCCGGGAAGTGGTCAGCTAATATTTCCCATATTTTGAAGGTAAAGTTGCAAGTATTTGCTGATGGTTTGGATGCAACTGTGAGTGGAAGAGAGTCCAGGCTGGTTCAGGTTTTCCACACCGACCGTCTCCTCAGCCGCGCTCCACCTGAGCCCTCGTGGCTGGGGCTGCCCAACCATCACCCACCAGGGCCCAGGCCCCAGGCCCTCGGACAGGGACCCAGAATCCCCATCCGACTTGGTGAGGAGGCCTCCCTGCCACCAGATGAGGACTGAGCTCTGGACCCACGGCCTGGGCTCCCAGCAGGGGCTGGGCAGGCCTGGGTGAGTGCGGAACGGCCGTCTGGCCTCTGTCTAAACAGGATATGCTTAGGCGGCCCACAGTCATGGGTCACTTGGCAGCCAGCCGAGCTTGGGCCCACCCGACCGCCACCTCCCTCAGCCGCCAGCACGAGCACGCACACAGGATGAGGGTGCGGGTGGGTGACACACTGCCCCGTGTCCCCCTCTCTCGTTTACTCCGACGTCCTATGAGGAGCAGCTGCTGATCGGATGGGTGCACGGGGGGCCCCGCTGGGGGAGTGAAGAGGGCCCGGGCCGGACAGGGTCTCTGAGTGTCTGGAGGGTGCCAGACCCACAGGGGCCCAAGGACACCCGACTCAGCCAGTAGGATGCGGTTTCTGGGAGGACTGTCTCGCCAGAGGCCCGAAGGATCGAGAAGGAAGTAGGAAAGACGTTCCAGGCACGGAATGGCGTGTGCAAAGACCAGAGATGAGCATGCAGAGCCCCTGGAAGAGGCTGGGGTGCCCGCAGGCTGCAGTGGGGAAGGGAGGATGGGGCAGCCTTCTGAGGGGCGGCCAGGCCCGGGTGCAGGAAGGGACAGTGTCAGTGGGGGAAGGAGGTGGCCACGGGCTCTGGGCTCGAGGAATCAGGGTTACACTGGCACTGGCGGCTGGGAAGAGCATCCCGGTACGGGGACGCAGCAGAAAGGCCTGCAGGCAGCTTTGGGAACCAGCCAGGAGGTGGGTCGCTCCAGCTTTGATCGGCTCAGAGCCAGCCCCTGGGGCAGGCTGGGCAGGAAAAGGCTGAGCTGGGCCGAACCCATCCTCGCTCTGGGCTACGGTGACTCCTCAGTCAGTGCCCGCCCCTCCCGGTGCTGCCTGAGCAGCCTCCGCACCCCCTCCCCGGCCCCCTTTCAGCACTCCCCCTCTCTGGGATCCAGTTCCGGCAGTGGGGGCTGGGCCAGCGAGCAGGCAGCGCCTGGGGCAGGGGAGATGAGAAAACCAGAAAGAGGGGAAACCTGAGCCAGGGACGCTGGGGCTGAGGCTGGGGCTGGGGCTGGGGCTGGGGCTGGGCGGGCCGGGGCTTGCAGAGCGGGCTAGGCCAGGGAAACAGGTTCCCCGGAGACTGGGCCAGAGGAGGGGGTGCTGGTGTAGTTGCCACCTTCATCCAGGGGGCATGCGGGCCTCTGAAGCCCAGGCCCCCCGAGTCCAGCCTTCCAGAGGCCGAGGCCGGAAAGGAAGTGTGTCTCAAGGTCACCAGTATAGCGGCTGCCCCTCCCCACCTGAGGAGGAGGCCACAGGGTAGACGGAGGGAGGGGGTCAGGCCGCAGGAGGCCGGGGCTGCACTCCAGGCCCCACAGCTCAGCCTGGAAGAGCCAGAAGGAAAAGAAACAGGCGGAGCACTGCCAGCAGCACAGACTGGCCCAGGCTGAGGGCTGGGGGCTGTGCCCAGGCTGAGGGCTGGGGGCTGTGCGCGCGCGAGACCTGTCACCCAGGGTGGGCTGAGACCCAGGGGCCAGTTCCTCCCCGTTGGCCACACCCGCTGTCGGGCATGCGGCCCCTCAGAGTTCCTGGAGGTGCTGAGCCAGGAGCCCAGGGCCACACAGTCAGGGTGTCGCCCCAAGGGCCTGCCTTGTGACAGACACTCAGAGCCCATCTGGGAAGGGAGCTCCAGCAGGAGGACCTCAGAGGTTCGCTCGGTGGGTGAACCAGACCTGGCCTAGCCATCTCTGCGCCCCCTTCCCCCCCAAGTGCCCTGTATGTCCAGACTGGCACCAGGTGGGCTGCAGGGGAGCTGGAGAGGCAGGCCTGGGCCCTGTGTCCCGCAGAGGAAGGCGGGAGGCCTGGCCAGGGGGCTGCTCTGCAGGCGTTCTGGGCAGCTCTCAGGTGGAGCCAGCACGCTGAGTGGCCTTTGGAGGGGAGACACAGGACACTGGGGGGCAGGGAGAGCATGGGGTGGGGCAGCGGTCCAGGGGCTGGGTCTCAGGGCAAGGAGTTGGCTCCCGGCCAGTTGGCTCTTGGCTGGGTTCCTTCTCACATCGGGTGCTGCAGAGATTTGGTCTCTTGTTCCTTCAATAAAGACTATGGACCCCCACAAGTGCCCTCGCTCCAGCACTCACTGCTGGCCGAGCCCCAGGCCTGAGCCCCCAGCCCCCAGCCTCCAGCCCCCGAGCCCCAGGCTGGGTGGCAGGTCTTTGGCTCCACTGGGCCTCGGGCCTGGCCCTGCCCTCCCGGAGCCTTCCCGGGAGGCGTTGCGCTTGGTACCTTGGCTGCCCTTCTTCTCCCAGGCTCCCTCCTCCTCGGTGCCATGGGACACCTCATGCTGAATAACCGCACACCTGGCACTCAGGGCCCCCAGCCTGGCACTGGGCTGGCTTCCAGGGCTCTCACATGGAAGGCAAAATCGTGGGAGGCTCTACAATTGCCTCCCACTAGTATATACTTTATATGCATAGATAAAGTCTAGATTTAGAACAACATATAGTGAACAAATGCGTAGCCCAGCCCAGACACAGGCAAGGGTGCAGGGCGGACTCTCGCGGCCATGATGGTCTTATATAGATTGATTATTCGGCCTCCTCACCTTGTTTAGAGGAGGCTTGGCATTCCTCTTGTGTAGCCAGGCTCAGCTGTAGCCTCTTCCCTCTCCTGTCCACGGCCCCCGCCCCCGCGGCCTCTTCTGTGTCTGTGAGTGGAGCTCCATGGACAAATCAACTGAGTCTCTTTCCTTCCCAGCCCAGCACCCTGGGGTCACTGGCAAGTCCCAGCAGTTCTGCGTTAGTGACCGCGACAATGATCACGCGTGGGGTGGTGACAGAGGTGGCCGGGCCATGAGGGAGGTCGGGGCTGGGGGTGGTGAAAGGGATGGTGGCGTTGGGAACCATGGCGATGGTGACAAGGGGCACTGGTGATGGAGGCTGGGTGGTGGTACCCTCAGGAGTGACCCTGGGACAGAGGAGTGGGGATGAGGAGAGATGGCTGTCGCAGTGTTTTATGTTTTTATTTTATTTTTTAAAAATATTTTTTTATTATTGATTTCATAGAGGAAGGGAGAGGGAGAGAGAGATAGAAGCATCAATGATGAGAGAGAATCATTGATCGGCTGCCTCCTGCATGCCTCCCAAGGGGATTAAACCTGCAACCCAGGCATGTGCCCTTGACTGGAATCGAACCCAGGACCCTTCAGACCGCAGGCCGACGCTCTATCCACTGAGCAACACGAGCCAGGGCTGTCGCGGTGTTTTAAATGAGATGTGACAGAGAGGAGAGGTGCAGGCGCTGTCACTGCAGCCACGTGACTCCAGCTGGGGGTTCCAGCCTCAAATGGCCAGCCTCTGCCGGATGGAGCCTGTGGGCCACACTCCGAGGCTGGTGGGCAGGATCCCTAACATCCCACCCCACCCCACCTTTGCAGTGAAGCAGCCACTAGGCCAGAGGAGGGAGGCCCCCCTCAGAGGGTCTGGTCAGCCAGGAGGAGGAACGGAGGAGAGAGGAGCTGAGGGGCAGAGAAAGGAGAAGGAGCTGGGAAGAAGAGGGGGGGCCAGAGGAAGACAAAATGGGGGGAGGGAGGAAAGGGGGAGGGGAGGAGGGAAGGAGAAGAGAAGGGAAGGCAGAGGAGAGGGAAGGAGAGAGGAGAGAGGAAGGAGGAGGAAGGGGAGGGATACGAGAGGAAGGAGGGAGAGGCTGGAGGGCCCATGCCCCTTGGGACCTTAGCAAAGTGCCTGGGCAGGGCTGAGACTGGTCTAGGCTGGTGAGGCCATGACCTTGGGGAGTGGGCTGGTGGAGGGTCCCTTCCCACTCATTGCAGGGCCCTGGGGTGATCACGAGGCCATTTGACAGCAAATGTCCCCGGTAGGAGGGGAGGCCAGCGTGGCTGGCTGCTCTGGGACATGGAACTATGCAGGGTGGGTCCCTGGGGCCGCTGGCTTGGAATAGGCGGGCGGCTGGCAGCCCTCGAGGGGCTGGACAGCCGGACAGGCGGGGGCTGGAGGGTGTGGGCAGCACCAGCGGTGCCAGCCGTCCCAGGGGTTGCACCGCCACCTGCTGAGCGTCCGGGGCAGTCCTGGGTCCTGCGCTGCGGGACTCGCGCGCGGCCGGCCGGCGGGGAGTGGGAAGGAGCGACACCGCCCGGGGTGCGCAGGTGAGCCGGGCTCCCTGCTGCCAGGCGCGCCCGCCCTTCCCGCCTGGGAGTTGAGCGCCCGGGTAAACACCAGGCGCAGTGCGCGGTGGAGCCACCGAGAGACAAAGCCGGGGCGGGGCGGGGGCGCCGCCCGCGAAGCCGGGGCGAGGGCGCGGGGTGCAGATCAGCCTTCCCTGGCGCGGGCGGCCCTCCGCCGCGGAGACCCCAGCCGCAGCCGCGGACAGGTGGAGCGGGGGCGGGGTGGCGGCCGGGCGGGTCCCGCCCCGGGGGGGGGGCCGGGCGGGGCGGGGCCGCGCTATGCAAATGTCGCCCACGGGCGGCCAATTGCCGGCGCTCCCCGCGCGGCTCGGAGCACCCTGTCCCGCCGGCGGCCGCGAGAGCAGAGCGAGCGAGCGATCGGCGCGGTCCGGCGAGCCCTGAGCGCAGCGCCAGGCCGGGGCGTGCGGCGAGGAGCGGCGCAGCCCCCGCGCGGCCGCCGGGCCCCAGCCCAGCAACCGGGCGGGCACCGCGCCATCGGGCCGAGCGAGCGGAGCGCAGCGCCCGGAGCTGAGCGCGCCGTCGCCCGCGCCCCGCGCCCCGCGCCGGGGAATGCGCCCTCGGCGCGCCGGCCAGGGGGCGCCCGCAGCCCACCCGGGGGGAGGCGGCCCCGAGCGCCCCTGAGCCTTCCCATGGCCCGGGCTGGGGCCCGGGGCCTCGGCTGCTGACGCGCTCGAAGCCCTCGGAACCCGTTAAGCCGGGGCGCGGCACCGACACCGGTTCAGGCACAGCGGCGAGCGGGCGCGGGCAGGGCAATGGCCCGGGGGAGGCGCTAGCGCGGGCCGCCCGCCCGGGAGCCCAGGCCCCGCCGCCGCGGAAGAGGTGAGTGCGGCGGGAACGGCAGGGAGCGGCGGCGGCCGGCCACCTCGCGGTCCTCCGGGAGCCGCGGCGCTGCAACTCTGCGGAAGTGTCCGCGGCGCGGGCGTCGGGGGTCGGGGGGCTTCCGCGGACTCGGGGCGACGCGACCTGAGCGGGCGCGGTACCTGTCGGTCTGCCCGGACCCTTTGCCTCCGGGCGACCTGGCATGTCGGCGGATGCGGCCTGCGGGGTCCCCGGCGCAGAGCAACTTTTCCCCGAAGGTCTGGTGGGCGTCCCCCGCCCCCTCCGCCACTCCCACGTTCCTGGAGCGGGATCCGGCCGCCGCTTCTCCCGGCTCAGCCCTCTCCCGCCGGCGCCCCAGGCAGCGCTGTGCCCGGTGGGTGCGCCGCCTGCCTCAGTGGCCCCATCGGACGATCCTCGGCTCAAAGGAAGCGCTGTCCTGGCTGCCCCCACGCGGAGGGTCTCCCAGGTCCAGGGCAGGGGGGACCCCAGCCCCGCGGCCTTCCTCCCAGCACCGGGCCAACCCGAACCCCCTGCTGCCAGCGCGGGTTTGCTTCTCCAGCAGCGAGTCTTGCTCCATTAGGGACCCAGCTGTGTGTGGGGTGTGGGTGAGCTGGGAGACCCGCAGCCAAGCCCGCATCTGGGCCGCTGGGCCCCAGTGGTGAAGCGGGCAGGGGCCCCAGGTCCGGGGAGGGGGGCTCTCCTAGAGCAGGTGGGCCCTGGAAGTGCCAGGCTGGCCCGGGAGTGAGGCAGGGGCTGGACCGAGGGCTGGGCCTGGCTGGGTAGGTAACTTCTCATTCCTGAGCTGCTGTCTTGTGAACACCAGCCCAGAGCACCTGGGGGAGGGGGCCGACTTAGGGCACTGGTGTGTGTGCCCTGGAGGTGGGCCCGGTTGAGGGTTCCTGTCCTGAATTCACCCAGGAGCCTCTGTACAGTTCCAGACCGGGGACCTGCACCCAGGGGTGGGGGCTCATCCCAGCGGGGAGGTTAGATGAGCTGAGCCTTTTCCCAGGTCGCCAAGGGAGTGACCTGCAAGCCAGGGCCCTGGGCCAGGCTGCCCTTACTGCTGCCCCTCAGTGCAGTTCAGGAGCCGGATGGGGAAGTGTGGCTGTGGGGAGAGAGGGCCAGCAGTCCCCCGCGACCCCCCTACCCCCCTGCTCTGCCAGGCATACCTTGAGGGGGAGGATGGAGCCAAGCCCAGGTGACCTTGACTGGGAAACCCCCACCACGAACGAAAGGGGGGGTCAGTCCCAGCTCTGCTGGGGTGGCTCTGCTTCCTGGCCCATGGGGTGTTGGGGGAGGGGGAACGCCTAGGAGCTGGGGGGAGCGCTGGCCTGTGGCCTGTGCAGGGGGCAGATCCAGGGGCTGGGGAGGGGGTGGGGTGCTGTTAATAATTTCTTCCCCATGTTCCCCCACAGCCCCTGCGCCTGCCTCCCTCGCAGCCAGGCAGTTCCCAGCTCTGAGCAGCCAAGCTCCCTCCCTGAGGCAGGCTGTCCACCCCCACCCCCACCCCACCCCCCTCGGCCTGGGAGGTCTGGAGCAGGCTAGACAATTCTACCACCTCGCCCCCGGCCCGACCCCAGGTACCTCCAGACCCCCTCGATCTCCCGCCCCTTCCCTGCACCCCTTGCCAGCCCCAGCTCCTCGGTTCTTTGTTTGAGCGTCTCTCTCTGTCCCTCCCTCTCTCCTCCCTCTCTCCTCCTCCTCCCTCCCGCCTGCCTTCCTCCCTTGCTCCCTCCCACCAGCCTTCTCTCCTTCCTTCCTTCCCTGCTCTCCTCCTGGTGGGCTCCCAGGTGGCGGTGCCTGCTCCTCCTCTGTCCACCCACCTGGGCCAGCTGGCTGGGGAGCCTCTGGGGCTGGGCTGAGTGGGATGCCTCCAGGAGCTGGCCAAGGGGGAGTGACAACAGGAGTGCCCTCCCCGTCCTCCCTCTGTCCTCTCCTTCCTTTCTGCTCCTCTCCTCTCTTCTCCTCCATCCCCCAGGCTGCTAAAGAGGGGGCCTGGACTTGGGCCTCAGGCCCCAAAAGACTCGAACTCCCACATTCACCCCTTTAAAGGGCTAGAGCATTGTGGGAGGTCCTTGTAGGAGCCGGGAGGGCAGAGCCCTCCACCTCTATGGACACCTTGGGGGACTCCAACACTGTTCTTGGTGACCCTGACCTTGTCACCATGAACATGGAGGCAGGAGAAGTGAGGCCATGGAGAGGAGGGGAGGGGAGAGAACCGGAGCCCCCCCGGCCCCCCTACATGGGATCAAAGCTCCCTGAGGGACCCCTCCCAGGCCAGGACCATGTCTCCCAGCTTCTTTGAGCCCCACCCCACTAGCAGGTCAAGTTCCTGAGCAAACACATGCCTGTGTGAACATGTGTGGGCCTGCACGTGAGGGTGTGTGTGTGTGTGTGTGTGTCCACAATTGTTAGTGGGGCCTCCTGGTGCACCCCGAGGGGGTGTGGCTGCACAGCCCTTCCCCACCTGCCCCCCTCAGCCTGCCATTCAGCCAGCACCAGCCTGGTGCCCCCCGCAGGCAGGGAAGGGGCTGGTTCTGATTCTCCCCTGTCCCCCCTCCCCCCCCCCGCCTCCCCAGGAGGGAGTATCTGTGATGGGGATTGGGGGGGGCGGGGGACAGAGAGGCGCCAGCTCCCAGGAGAGGGCCTTCCCCAACCCCAGGGCACCCCTGGGGAATGGCCGGGAGGCCCAGGCTGCACTTCCTGTCTGAGGAACCACGAATGGTTGGCCCTGGCAGGAGAGGTCAGGGCTTGGGGATGCGGGTCAGCGGAGGGCACCAGGTCTGCCCAATGGGGCCTGTGGGGCCTCACCCAGCATGTGTCAGCAGGTGCCAGGGACTCGCAGGCCCAGGCCCTCACCCCACCCCAGGGCCCAGCATTCACCTGGGCCTGCCTCCCATGGGCGGAGGGGGAGACAGAGCGGGTCAGGGGGTGGGGCTCGCACGGTCGTCTTGGTGCCCCCACCGCCAGTGCATCTGGGTGGGGGGGTGGGGAGTTGGCGCTGGTTTTTGCTGGGAGGGAGCAATATGTTCCGACAACTGGTGCTGGGCTGCGTTTACCCACAGCCAGTCTGCCTGGGGAGACAACATTGGGAAAACATCGCACTGAGACTTGGACCCGCCGGGGGTGTGGGAGTTCTGCAGGGGAATCTGCAGGCCCGCCCAGGCTGCCGCGGGAAGTCCTTCCGTAGGTCTGACCTGGATCCCTCCTGCTGTGGTTTCAGCAGAAGGAGACGGCTCTTCCCTGCCTCTCCTTTCTTGGCTGCTGCGCTCTTGCACTGTGGTCTGCGTACACGGGCCTCTCGCATTCTCTGCTCTTCCGTGCACCGCGCCCCGATAACCAGGTCCAGATTTCCCTGTCCTGGGTGGAGCGGGCCCCCTCTTCCTCCAGCCTGAGGTGGGAGAGGGATGGGCAGCTCGTTCGGTGGGGGGTGGGCATGAGGAGGAGCCTGTGGGGAGTGCAGTCAGGGCTGCGGCTGGGAGAGTGAGTCTCCAGTGTTCGCCCCGCCCCCCCCCCCCCCCCCCCCCCCGCCCCCAGCCCCATAGCTCTGCTGACCCGGGGCTGCACCTGGCTGCCTGGTCTTCAGGGCCGTTGGTTACATAGACGAAACAGGGACAAGAAAGTGTGTGAGGTTTTAGTACGGGGGCACTCAGGGCCGCGGGCCGAAGGTGTGTGAGGAGACACCGTCACCCTGTTTGTTCAGATGGGAGACTGAGGTCCTTGGCAGAATTACATGGGGGACTGTGGGTGGGGCAGGACGGCCCCATCTGCTCCCACATCCAATCTCGGTTCTGCCTTCCCAGGTGTCCAGACCGCTGAGCTGCATCCTGGGCCCCTGGCCCCTCCCACGATGCCTGTGGCTGGTCTCCTCCTCTGGGCTTCCCTAGTGACCGGGGCCTGGCCAGCCACCCCCGTCCAGGACCACCCGCCGGCCACGCCCCGGGTCCGGCTCTCATTCCAAGGTAAGAGGCCGCCGTGCGGTCCCCAGCAGCCCCCTCTGTGCACAGCCCTCGGCCTGCCGCTCGGGAGAGAGGAGAGGTCACCGCAAACAAGGACCACACGTGGGTGGCCTGGGGGCGAGGGGGGGACAGGAGGTGGGGGCTGCTGGGAAGGCTGGGGCCTGGGCCACTCAGACATTTTGGAGCAGGGTCCTGAGTCTGGGTCCTTCTAGAGGCAGAGGGGAGTCTCGCCTCGGGCCTGCAGGGGCTCCTCTGAGTGGGAACTGGACGCTGGCGCTGCCGCCCTCCCAGCTTGTGTTTGCAGAAGCCCTGGCGCCCGCTCTGCGTCTGGTCCTGCCCTGGGCAGCCCCGGGTGGAGTGTCAGAAACCAGCAGACACCGACTCCAGGAAGTGGAGGCACAGGACCTGCTCTGCAGGGGTGCGGGCGCTGAGGAGCCTCCCTGTGGGTGGAGGTGGGAGGGTTCCCAGGAACTGGGGAAGGTGCTGTGGCTGTGACCGGAGGGCAGGCCACCTGGCGAGCTCTGGCAGAGCGTGTGCTGTGGTGACAAGCCCGCGCTCCTGCATCCCCCGTGAGCACTCGGAAGTGCCTGAGAGGAGCCAGGGGCGGGCTGGGGTCTGCAGAGTGAGAGCGGGTCGCGCAGCTCCATCACCCGAGGCACCGGGAGGCGAACACGCGTGTTTCACGGGCCCTTCGTCGGAGGGGCGTGCGATCGGAGGTCTCCTGTGCCCCTGGGTGAGGGCCAGTGGCCACGCCGGGGCCTGCGGGGCCTGGGTCACTCCCGCGTTCTCAGCCGTGGCCCCCCTCTGGCCCGAGGTCACTCGGTCCAGCCGCCGGCCCTGGGTGGGGCGGACTCAGCCTTGGCTGGCCAGGTTTCCGGGCACACATGTCGGGGTGAAAGGCTGGGCCGGGCTCTTTCCTTCCTCAAGCCTGGCTGCAGCCCAGCTCGCCTCACCTCGCCTCACCGTGTGCGCGTGCCCGTGTTCCCCCGCCGAGCCCCTCCCGGCCCCTTAGTGGGGGAATGGGTTAGTGGGGGGCTGGGTCAGTGGGGGGTGGGTTAGTGGGGAACGGGTTTCTGAGGGTGAGCCTGGAGGGCAGCCCGTGCAGGGCCTGAGGAACGGGCAGCCCCTCGCCTAGGCCGGGAGATGAGCTATTTATTCTGCTGACACCCCCACCCTTTCCTGGTGGAATTCCTCAGAGCAGATCAATAAATCTTGAAGGGGCCTGACTCCCCCTCTGCCCCCCTTCCCAGCAGCCCAGGGTGCAGGCAGGGGGTTAGACCATCCCCTTCCCCCACAGGACGAGGGTGGGGTGGCTTGGTCTCCACACCCCGGGGACCCTGGGACCCGGCATCCACTCTGGGTTATTTTTGTCATCACCCTGAAGACCATGGGAGGCCGCAGGAGGGACGACGCACGGGGAGGCCCCTGCAGGCTCCTCTTAAACCCCTTGGCCTTCTGGGGGCAAAATGGCAGAGGCTTTTGTTCCTGTTTCCCAGAGAGAGAAACCGAGGCTCGGGCAAGGGCAAGGCCAAGGTCGGGCAGGAGGCAGAAGCGAGGCCAGAAATAGAGCCCGGTGTCCCGGCCTTGGCGACGCCTGACGCCCACATCAGTCAGGTCGATTCGCTCTCAATTAGCTCTGAAGCCAACACCCGCGGTGACTAAAAGCCCAGCTCCTGGCAGGCGGCCTACGGAGGGCTGACTGCCCTGGCCGCCGGGGTGGGGCCGCGGGAAGCCGGGGCCACCCATGCCCGGGCCTCGGGGCCTTTGCACACGCAGGTGTCCCTGCCCTGAACGGCCTTTCCTGGTCCCCACTGGATCGCGTGTCCTGGTTTTATGGTTAACGTCACTTACTTTAGCGGATACCTGAGCGCCTACTGTGCGCCAGGCCCTGTGCTGAGCACTGGGGACTCTGCAGTGAACAGGACGGGGTCCCTACCGTCAAACCGGCTGAAAGACAGTGGGCACCCTGTCGCCTGTGCCACCTGGGAGCCCAGCTCTGACTGTGCGCTGGGCCCTGGATGGTCTCAGCCAGGCCATGAGCAGGAAGCGGCCCTCGCTGAGGGGTGAGTCCTCGCCGAGGGTTTGTGGAGTGAGAGCGGAGGCCAGCTCCCGCAGAACCTGGGGTCCCACAGCCTGGCTGTGGACTGGGAAAGTGGGGGCTTATCCTGGGCACAGAGAGGGCTGCTCCCAGAAGCACTGGTGGTCACTCTGGCTCCAGGCCTCAGGGACTCGGTCCGGCTGCAGTTGGGAGGCGCTGGCATAAGGGGCATTCCTGCCCAGGGCAGATAAAGGAACAAAGGCAGGAACTGGGCCAGACATGGGCTTGCTGCCTGCCCGTCCGCCCGGGCACCCCCTGCCCAGCCTCAAGCAAAGAGGGTGGAAGGGACAAGGGACCGGGGTTCAGTCAGAGTCGGGGGCTCCTGTGGCCCAGCCCTGAGCTTCCATCAGCAGCACAGCCAAGGTCGGACAGAAGTGAGGGGCCACGTGGGGAGACCCCGGGAGCAGACAGGGTGTTCTCTGAGCTCCGGGTGCCGGGCCTGGAGAGCCGGGACCCCAGGCCCCTCTGTCCTCCGCCCTCCTCGCCAGGCCTGGGTCCCCTTAACCCCAGAGTCACCGACCGCGTCTGGGAGAACAGCTCTCCTCCCCGCACCTGAGAGGGCACCACCTTGGCTGCCACAGGGAGGTGCCGGCCCTGCCAGGGCTTTTGCTCCACGTGGGGAATGCGCGCTGTGCCAGGGAGCCCTGCTGCCTGGGCTGCATTTGGCTGGGACCTGGGGCCAAGAAGTGTTCTGTGGGGGAAAGAGGTCTTGTGATGACACGAGGGGGCTGGACTGCTGGGGAAACTGAGGCAGGGGTAGGGAGATGGAGCAGAAGGTCATCTCGCCAAAGCAAATCGGGAAAGATGCCCACAATAGGAGTAACTGTGGGACCCCCTGATGACAGCCAAGTGGCGGCCTCCACGGCCTGAGGCAGCCCCCGGGTTTCCTGGGGACCTGAGGCTTCCTGGGCCGGACTGAGGGGAGCCTGTCGGGGAGGAGCAAGGGCAAGGGCGGTGGGAGGATGCAGGCACAGCCGGTCCGTGAGCTGGGTGGGGACAAGGCTCCAGGGCCCTGCAGCACCTCTCGCTGGCCTTCCCAGCCTCCTTCCCCAGGAAAGGCCTGGGGCCGCCCAGGGCTGCTTCTCGCGCCTCCAGGACACTCTCACCTTTTCTGAAGGGAAACCAGGTCCCAGAGGGGCAAGGGCTCCTGGGCCAGCAGGGCCCGCCCCGCCCGCCCCGGAGCCACTGACATCATTTGCATGTGGCAGCCCAAAGCCAGAGTCTGCACTTGCCTTGTTAGGAGAGGATGAGATGGGAGGTTAGGAGGGGTCACCGTGGGTGGGGGTTGTGCAAGCCTCGCTGGCTGGCGCACTGCCCCAGTCCCAGGCCTGATGCACAGGCGTGGAGTGAGGTTGGGGGGTGAGAGGACCCACCCGCCCCCTCCCGGGGCTCCCGGGCCAGGGGCCAGCCAAACAGGCGTGGAGCCCCAGGTTGCAGGGGAGGCGGTGAGGAGCCTGGCGCTTCGGAGCCTCGAGGCCAGGAGCGGCGCCGGGAGCTGGGCAGGCTCAGGTGCTGGGACAGCACAGCAGGATGGGCGTGTGTTCCTGGATGAGCCAGAAAGAGGGAGGAAGGAAGACCCAACGCGTGAACTTGAGCCCAGATCCCTGCATTTGGGATCAGCTTTCCTGGCAGTGGGAGCGCCTCCCTCCGGAGGGGGAGCTGGGAAGTGGCCACTTGGGGAGTTGGCAGGTCCTGGGAGCAGGGGCAGGTCCTGCCTGAGCCCCGCCTGTCAGCCAGGCAGGGGCTGGGCCTTCAGCTGTGGGCCCGCCGGGTCCAGCCAAGCTTGGGCCGGGCCTGCCGTCGGCGGGGGACCCAGCAGGCCAGGCCTGGTCTCGGGTTCCCTGGCACAAAGCCCGCCCTCCCTCCTTGGCACCGGGCGGGAGCTGGTGCATGCTAGGGAGTAAATCATGTTCCTTGGCAGCCCCCGCTGCTTCATAATCGTAAAGAATTTAAAGAGAAACCGCCAAGATAAGAATCTCATCCCAGCTCATAAAAGCATCTTTCACCCTGTGGCTTGGGAGGCAGCCGCCAGAGAGAGGGCTCCTGGCTGTCTGCACCTGTCTGCGCATCCCAGCCCTGTGACCCTCCGGTAGAAAGCAGAAGTGCGGGTGGTGGTGGTTGAGCGGACTAGCCCGGAAGGCAGGCAGACCTCATTCTACCCTCGTCAGTCAGCAGTGTGACCTCGGACCAGTGGCTTCGCCTCTCCAATCCCTGGTCCCTCCCTGGGCCTCGACGGCTCGGGCTGTCCTGCTTGCATCCTGGCCATGGGTGGGCCTCAAGTATCTGAGTCCCTCTGTGTCCCCGCTTCCTAATGGAGGTACAAACGGGGTACATGCGGTACCGACCTCATGGTGCTGTTGGGAGGGTTCGCCGTGAGTCCAGCTGCGGCCCCAGTAAAGGAAGCAAGGAGCCCCCCTGCGGGAGGCAGACAGGTGAGGGCTAGTCTGGGCGTGCCCAGGAGCCCCGCACGGCCTCACCCCTCCCTCTGGTTTCTGACCTTTGGAAAGGACTGCAGGCAGGACCCTGAGCCCTGTGGGTGGAGGGGGTCAGGAGGAGAATGGCTGTCGTGGGCATCCTGGCAGACTTCATGGAGGAGGCTACGTCTCAAAAGGGGAAGGGAGGTGGGGCGAGGGAAGAGCGGGAGCGGTGGTGTGTGCGGTGGCACCTGGGAGAGGGGCTGCTGGCGGGGGTCGTGCTTGGTGCCGGGGCGCAGTCTGTACTTGTCCTTGTGACTATTAAGTTCTCTTTAATCCCGGAGGTGACGTCCGCTGTGGGGAGAATCAGTGTTAGGAAGGCGTGGGGGGAGGGGAAGCCGTGGAGGGCGGCCAGTCTGGTTGGGCCCACGATCCGCTGCAGGGACCCCTCCTGGGGCGCTGTCCTGGCTCCTGCAGCTTGTGCCGGGGAC